ATCCTACGTTAAATTTGACATTGTATTATTCACTCTGTTCAACTTCTGTTATAATTCTCTATTCGTTCTGGCCTATCCTAAATTTTTAATATTTTACATCAATTTTCTTTCCTCTATCTCATAAATTATTATTTTATAAAAAAGTAAAATAATATATAAAAATTCATATATTTTATAAAATATTATCAAAATTTATTAAAATAAATTATAATCGGGATATATTTTATTTTATTTTCACTTTCCACTATCTATACCTTCGGCTCATTTCACCCAGTGCAATATGGTCTAAAAGGATAGCACTTTAAAAATCACGATAAAATGAAAAATCGAATCGATTACTTTAGCTCCAAGTGGAATCCAACTCTGAAATAATGGCAATAAATCACTCGAGTTAGTATGCATTATTTCAGTAAAGACAAGAAATTATGATTACAATTTTAACAAGCAAAGGCAAAAAATTGTAATTATTTTAAGAAATGTAGTGAACCGAGTATGTAGAATTTAATGAACGATCTGATATACAAGTGAGATTATTTTTTCACTTTAAAGTGTCATGATATGTGTAAATAAAATATATAAATATATAATCAAAGTGAGAAATTTATTCTTTTTTGCTAACGATAACCATTTAAATATAAAGTAATTGTATTAAAAAAAAAATGCTATATGTGCATTAAATTCTTTATCTGTTATTCGCTTATATATACAGGAAAATACATAATTCACAAAAAGATATTAAATCATCCAAAGTTTTATTCTCTTCGTTTTTTTTTTTTTTTTTTACATTCATTTGAAGAAAAAGTTTGTCTTTATAAAAAGTTCAATAAGAATCTCAAAAATCCGTATTCCCAGTTCACTCGATCGAACAATTCCTTTGTAAGATTTGAAATAAGGATTTTCAACTCAACGATTCTTGAAGAAAATCATCATAATCTTTATCTTCGAATCTCGAAAAATTCAACTATGATTTACGCTGATTATGTAGTACAGAAATTAATCCCTTTTACAATTTTCTTTTAAAATTTTCTTTACAATCTAATACAATTTCATTTTATTTTTCTTATAAGCAAATTAATTAATTAATAGGGGTAAAATATTAAATGAATTTCAATTCAGATAATATATCGGATAAAATATTTTACTGCTTATTTTATTGAAATTACAAAGAAATACTTCGTCACCTAATCACAATAATTGAATTCGAAAAATTATTTAAAACTATATTTGACTTAAATCAAAGAAAATTGTTTCCTCAATTTGATTGTTTCGTACATTTTTAAAAATTTCCTTGTTATAAAAAAAAAATTGTGAAAAAACAGACATACACCTATCTTGGTATCTTTATTTAATTA